TCTGCCTGATGAACCCTGGTATCGTAAGAAAGGCCTCGTCGTCTTTGGATACGATAAATATAATGTCGTTGACATATTATAATATATTTTTCTTGCTTTCACTCATGATTCTTAGAATTACACGTTAGTGTGCTGAGCTGTAAGTAGAACTGATTCTCTCTCCTTCATCCTGTCTCTCGTCTTGAAACACACGTCCTAATACAGTGGCCTTCATTCAACGTGTGTCGCAGCGATTCTAATACGCTGATAAAACACGCGAATTTGTCAGGAAAACGTAATTACTCCTCGTCATTAATTTGTTTACAATTTTGACGCATTTTTAATAAGTTGTTTGTGATAGTAAAATTTATTTAGCAAGTATTGGATGTATGTATTGGAGCTTGTAAAGTTGCATTCTGTAACTTTCATCTGAGAGCAACCCTCGACACACGCGCTTACACGTATTATTTCTGATAATTGGTCATGACCACTTTTGAGGACATCAACAGTGGTCATGACCAATTATCAGAAATAATACATGTAAGCGCATGTGTCGAGGGTTACTCTCAGATGAAAGTTACAGAATGCAACTTTACAAGCTCCAATACAAGTATAATACCTATCTGTAACATGATTGGAGCAGCAAAAAATAACAAAGATTTATTTTTTCCCAGTGTATCTTTCACATGTATAACACGATAATACCACTTTATTACAATATATTACTCAGAAGTATTAATACGTATTGTTTTACTAGATATTAACATACAAAATTTTATTTGTCCAGGTTTTGTCATAAAACTCTGTTCACTATACCTGTTCATTAGTTACCCCACATCGTGTTAGTTGAGCAAAACGGTTGAATCCGATTAAACAAATATCTTAAATAGAATTTATTCGAAAATAATGAATTTTTAAAGCATAAAAATATCAACACTGGATAGTAGTTAAAATTCTGTTTGTTTAATATCTGATAATTCATGTGTTACATTACTTAACTACTACATCACATTAATCATAATTATTACATCACCTTATTTTTGATGAGCTCCAGATTACGTCTTTTATTTAGTTGTGACAAACAAGTGTCACCACTTTTCAGTTAGTGATACACATTATTGAGCTCTGATGTGCACTTGCATACATACACAAACATGTTAACATACGTACATACTTATTTACTTTTCAAAATAAGCAGCAAACGTGAAAAAAAGGGTTACTTTTAATGAGTCAGAAGGAAATGGGGAATCGTCTGTTATTCGTAGAACACATCAAGATTGTTTTTTCCATAACAATACAATGTTGAGTATTCATCAGAACCAGTGTGATAAGTCGCACCTGTGGTCCCTGTCATGGGCCTGTGGCTTTCTAACACGCACGTTAAACATTTTTATCCATTTTATTCAAATCAAAGCCACAATACACGAGACTTCCATAGAATAAAACAATAATTCAGAGTCCGCGTGGTGGGTTCCAATATTGATGGCTCGGCTTATCGATCGAGTTTAATGACTAGACTTTGAACCACGAGTCTGTGTTAAAAATATCATTGTTAAAAGTGAAAAATCTGAATGATGATACTGTTAGATAAACAGCCGAATAGTGAACATATTTTAAAATAAACTTGTCATTTTCTATTTTTCCAGTTAGGGTTTTGCGCTATCAAACCACATGTTTTGTTTTTCATAACCCGGATTGTAAACCACGTATATATTCACCTCTATAAATATAACTAACTAGAAGAGTGGTTAATATAAACATTGTTACTTTGTGACGTGTGCCAAACGGTAATTGTTGCACTGAGATGTGATGTAAAGTTTCTTTATATTCTAAAAGTGGGGATTTTTTCTCTATTAGATTTTAAGATTGAATCTAAATTATCTATCAGTTCAAAAACTTATCAAAGACATTGTAAAAAGCTGTATTCATCTTGAAAGAGTTTGGGAGAAATTATACCAAGTAACAACTTAAACAATGAAAATAGAAATTAACGGATTTAGAGAATTGTCCGACAAAGAAAGAAGCAATCTCGGTAACTTGTTCAAAAAGGCTACCATACATATTGTGATTGTTAACCCTATTCTCATGTTACATAAATCAATGATGTTATTGTTTCATCTTAATGATATTTCCAAATATCATCTGAAATTGTATGCTCAATGTCTGTACGAAAACACAAATAATCTTACCACTTTTGATTTGATTCTAATTACTGATACAATAAATACGAAAGAAATTATCTGTATTATTAATTTTGAGTTAAGTACGTAACCGGGAAAGTGATTTCTGGAGATTACTTTTACAAAATAGGAACTTCTAATTCCTTTTGGACGGTCAGAGCAACTCTATGCGGTTTAGCTGTTGTCTTCAAACTCATCAAAGAAAAACTTTATGTTTTTTTTTTTCTTGTTTTAAATATTAGCAAGGCTAATTTGAGCTTATAGAATGAAAGGAATGCACCTACCTAGTGAACAGAATCCCCCCGCCAAACCTTGGGCTTGCCCCCCAGTGGCACAGCGGTATGTCTGCGGACTTACAACGCTAGAAACCGGGTTTCGATACCCGTGGTGGGCAGAGCACAGATAGCCCTTGTGTAGCTTTGTGCATAATTAAAAACAAAACAAAACAAACAAAATCTTGGGCTATTCTAATCGAATAAATGGATTTGTCCGTGTTAAGTATTATAATTTCAAATAACCTAAAACTGAGTTAAATGGTAATTTAGATTTAGTAGTTAAATAAATGCCGATATGTATCGAATATATTATATTTGCCAGCAAGACTGATACACTCAGTTTCTTTTTTAATACAAATATGTGTTAATATACAGACAATAATGCAATTTACAGTAACAGCTATTACAAATAATGATCTATGTACAAAAAATTTACAAACTTACAAATAATATTGAATCTTCTCTTTGGTTGGCCGGGCATGGCCAGGTGGTTAAGGCGCTCGACTCTGAGAGTCGTGGGTTCGAATCCACGTCCCACCAAACATGCTTGCTCTTTCAGCCGTTGGGGCGTTATAACTTGACGGTCAATCCCACTATTCGTTGGTAAAAGAGTAGCCCAAGAGTCGGCGGTGGGTGGTGATGACTAGCTGTCTTCTCTCTAGTCTTACACTGCTAAATTAGGGACGGCTAGCGCAGATAGCCCTCGTGTAGCTTTGCTCGAAATTCAAACCAAAAGGTATCTTTTTTGGTATGGAACTTCCTTGATGTCTTATCGAGGGTTCACCATGAGCAAATTAATTTTTAGTTGATGTAGATGCGATTCACTTAACAGTGAGCTAGCTAGCTCTGTGGTCCTCACTGATCACACGCCGATTACAGGTCGAGTTTTTTAACGCTGACGTTATATAATGTCTTCGTAGAAGTACTAATGTCCGATGTGAATCCCCTGAAGTTAAATGGTTTGTAATGTTCGAAATTTATAAATGTTCCTGATCATATATCTGACGTTTCCCGATTAATAAGCGTTAATCTATATACTACTAAAACTCTGAGATTGTTTGTTTGTTTGTTTGCTTGTCTGTAATTAGATACAGCAAAAACAACGCACAATGGGGCCATATTTGTAATGAAATGAGATTAGAAACAGAATAAAACAAGTTTCGTTAAAATCGAGCCACGAGTTACCGAGTTAGCACCGTTTTTCGGGTCACTTTTATGAAAACTTCTAGCATGAGTAATTTTACATCACACTACCGTTCGCGCTCTTTACGAAACTTCTTCGTTCAAATCTATTTCCCTGTCAATGTTCCCATCTTCATTAAAAGACATAAGATGTCAAAAACTAGATGTTGAAGAATTTCTCAATAATGTGCCTTGGTTATGGTAGATAATTCAAAGAAAAAATAAAGTGTTAGTGTTTCTTATTTGTAGAAGGCTTAAGAGGAAAGACCACAACATAATGATCTAATTCATTACAATACCTGAAAACTCTGACTTCACTTCTGTGAAAAATGAAATGGTCTTTCCTTTTACTCCCGATCAACAATCAAATATATTTTCTTGGATTATGAATAACACGAATGGATTGAGATATTTAATTAAATTATCTCAAATAAACCTTCATTTCGGTACAATATTGAAATTATCTTGAATTATTCATAACCTCTGAATAGTGGGTGACCCAAGGGGTCACGGGTGGTCTAGTAATTTCTAATTTTAAGTGTTTTTAATATAAAATTTTGCAGGTTATTTGACTGTAGAAGTATACTTCACTGGTGAAGAATTTATGAATGACGTTGAAAGAATGTGGTACTAGGTAAGATGGAGTTAATCTGAAACATATATATGATTTTTATTTTCGGGTGATAATGTAAAAAGGACTAAGAAACAGAAACAGAAAATGTCAGTGTGGACTATTTATAATACGAATTCAGTACTTTCTTCAATGAAAAGCACAATACCTAATACTATCACATATGTGCAATTAAGTAAAATCATAAATATATAAGTTGTGCAAGAGTTTATAATAGTTTTAATAAAAAGGTCGAATATGTTTCGTTAATGAACTTAATTTGTTTACTTGTTATTCATACTTCCCATGTAAGTAAACAAGCTTATTATGAGACATTCGTTTGCAGCAATTTTCAAATTGGCATTTAATACGTATGATCTTCCTAAGAGGTATGATTTTAATTCTAAAAATCATTTGTTTTTGTTTTTATACTTTTAGACTCATTGTTATGTGATTGCCAATTAGTCCTTGTCATGTTAAAGCCAATGTACGATGAGTAAATTATTTTCTCAGCTGATATAATAATAATACATATTTTAAAGATTCTATAAAGGCAGTGAAGGCCTCAGCATGGAAGCCGGAACGAAGTCCCCTTTTCATTCAACTGGCAGTTGTAGTCCATTAAAGTTTTCAAACCTACTATGTCTACTCGCCTAAAGTTCCTCTGAAACAATTACACAAACCTATTCTTAAGCATAAAAACATAAACACCAGTACAAATGTTATCAAACAACCCTTGAAAAACAAAATAAAAACAGCAGTTAAATTTCGTACCAGATGACGTCACACAGTCTTTAGTAGACAACAGCGAAATCAAGGCTTCCAGGATTCTCCATCCAGGATTAGGTGACTATAATACAAACCGTCAAATGCATTTCGATATCTAAATAATGTCGCCTGACAGATTACTGGAGGCGCCAGGTGGCCACTAATGATTATTAGCTGAAAGGGGGGAATGGCGTCGCACAGGAAGCTCCCAGCAGTGAATGCCTCAAGGAATTATTGTGAGAAATCTGTGCGCACGTGCACTTTTTGTCTGCACAGAATTTATTGTTTGACACAATTGACGAACACATTCTATATATACTATACAAATATTTTTGTCGCGTGCCTACGTAATGTGTAATGCAATTATGTATATGTTTTTCTTTTGTCTAACTGTAGTTGTTGCCTCAATGGTTGCAGTACCTGAAACTATCATCTAGGGGCAACCATCTAGAAGCGTTTTCTGAATCCCGGGATTTTAGTGGCTCGATTCCTGGGGTTCTAATTATTTTACTCATTTACATTCCATTTTGTATTAATCAAACGTAATTAAATTACCTGCAATCCTTATCTACCTTAAATGATTAAAAAATAATCCAAACACAGGCAATTGGTAGAACTTTAAGATATAACTTATGATTGTTTGAATTCGATCCCTACTGTGTGTGCTTCTGACTTTGTTACCATCAACCAGCAAGAAGGTTCGTTTAATATCTAGAGTGTAAGTAATTACACTTAAGTACAGGCAGCCTTCTACAAACTTTTAATGAAGTTTAATCAAGAAACTGCATTGATTAAAATTATTATGTAATTTGTGTTAAATATCGTCACTATGAGAAGAAAAAACCAGGGGATATCAAACCCGAAAATCCAGGGATTCTTTTCGATAAATCCCGAGATTAAGGGAACCCATCAGCAAACGGGATTTCGGCATAGCAACCCTTACTACCAAAACTTTTTATGTCCAGTTTCTATTCTAAGCTATCGAAATGTGCGTATTTATTACGCTAAGGTATTCATTTCATTGTTATACCATAGTCTATTTGATCTATTTTCGAGGAAACCATACCGTTACAGAAGTTGTAAATATGTTTGAAAAATCTTCAAAAAGTTACGAAATTTTCTTAAAGATAGAAAACGACAACATCATGCAACTTGCTCATTTCATTCTAAATCAGGTGTTTGATTGATTTATTTGTTAAGAAACGATGACGAGAATTCCCAGAAGCCTTCAGAAAAATTGTTAGTTGAAAACTTTCATAATAAACAACCGCTCGTTTGTCCCTAAAGAAAACAGAAGAAGGAGAATCAAGGACGTCAAATGGAGTTCTCGTCTCGTTTAAAGTAATTGAAGCTTCACTTGGGGGCGCTTTTGGCAGTGGCCTACACCTGCAGCCAATGGAAACATAGATATTGGCCTTAGGTTGTGATGAAAGCTTGATCGGTCGTCCCCGCGTGACGCTGTATAGTTTTCTAGGAACGACGCTGTGGAAAGGAGGGTTCGTTACGAGCTTTAGTTTACAAAGCTACAGGCTAGCTGTCTGCCTAAGTTAAAGTTATTGTAGACTGACAGTGAACAACGTTAGACTTTCCCTAAAACCACTTGTCTGGAGACAAGTAATAGACATTTCTTGGAGGCTCCCACGTCTGAATCTCTCGAGATATTCTGGTAATGCTTCACACTTGATAAGCAGTAATGTGGTCCATTCAGACAAACAGTTGAACTGCTTGGAATTTAAACCGTGATGTTCTGTTGAAAGACAGTAAACTGTATGTTGGGTAAGTCACCTCGATTAAGTAACCTGCTCTTAAGGAATTAAGGACTAACAACACACTATGACTATTAATAACATTTTTATATATACATTCTATTTAAGGTTTCAATTATGAGTCACAAATTGTTAAAAATATGTCATGACTAATAAATAATAAACGGTTATATAGTACAAATAGTTCAACGGTTTCTAACCATCTTATCTGAAATTAGCAGCGTCTTCTAGAAAGATATATATAATGAAAGTTTACCTTAGATAATACTGAGATTACCGTACACTTCAGAGTCGCTATTAATACTAGAGCGGCGCATGCTTTATTCTCGAACAGAGTCCGTGTTCTTTATATAGTTTGTTACTGATTACAAAGAAATAAAACTGCTTACCTTCATAGAAATTCAGTAAGAAAAATCCGTTGATGTATTATGGAACGTACAGTTGCTTGTAAATACCAAAATTACACAAGTAAGATTTGCCCGCCGAAATAGACGTATAGCTCCGCATCGTCATATTTCTTGTAGTCGAGAGTAGCGAAACAGGGCTCATATTGTTCGAAACTGCAGTTCTCAGCTGACCATGAAATAGGGTTTGTGCCATTACGTTTCCTGAATATTAAGTAATACGTTTCACAGTAAAATTATAGGAAATAAAAGGGACTTAAACCTATGCTCTCTTGGGTTTATATCTCTATACGCAGCTAAATAATATATTACATAATCAAAACAAAAAAAGAGAGAGGAAAACTATTCATAATCATCATTGTTCTTTGAAAGTAGTATTCTTTAATCATAACATCATTCAAGTACAGTGTTTCTACCCACTCACAGGTTTCATAAAGTTTTTCTCCTACATGTACAGCTCTATGCATACAGCGAGCTGCTTTAAAACTGCTGGACACTGTGGGTGTTATTGTGTATGAAGATAACTGCTTCCTCTAATATTAATACACTCAGAATTGTACTCGTGTGTTTAAACATATATTTTTATATATAAAGGACTATTTTTCCGAATCTATAACTGTGAACTGGACATATAAACATTTCAATTTTACGCAATTCATTTTCTAACTATGTCTATTCTTGCGAATTTGAGTTATATGTACGATTACACCTGGTTATGGATTTGTAGACTTTTACATTATTGTGGAAATTATTTCTTGGATACGTACAGTTACTTTAAAATCAAATACAGTTTCACAAGTTCATGTACTATCCTTGTTAATGTTTCTATGTGTCAGCAGTAACTTTACGGACCTACAACGCTAAACTCTGGCATTCGATTCCCCCGCGGTGGACGAAGAAGAGTTAACCTTTTATGTAGCTCTGCACTGAACAAGCACCAGTAACACTGTATAATGTATTTTGTCTTAAACTTTTATTCATCTTAGATGTTCTACTGATTCTAATGTATAGCATAACCTATATAAAGATGTATATAGCATAACCTATATAAAGATGTATATAGCATAACCTATATACAGATGTATATAGCATAAGAGCTAATACGTCCTTATTATAGATTTGACCAAATGTGTAAGCCAATTTCTGAGTAAAATATGATGAAGTTAATTCATAAAAAACCTAAGAGAAATCTGATTAGAAACAACAACAAAAACAGGCACTGGGGAGTGAAGGCATTACTGTATACAACGGTTGTACAAGTTACAAGTGCCTGAAAGATACACATAATTTTAAGTTAAGCTTATTCCTGTTCGAATGCAATCGGTCACTTTACCCCAAACTTCTAGGAAGCTTTTTTTTTCTCTATATCTTGCTTTAGTCACAAGGTTTTCCTTTATCTCTGACCTCATGCTTTAGATGTTGATGAATCGTTATTATGTGTGCAAATGTAATATCTATAGGATAATGGTCAGTTTCGATTTACTGCGGTACCAGTTGCTATGGTAGGCATTAACAAATGACTTACAATAAAAAAAACAGATCATTTTACGGTTTTGTAATGTTGTTTAACCTTTGATATATATAATGCAGGCTTTTCATAAATATTTAGAACGGTCAGAATTATTTTATAAGGTGACACTTTAAGAATAATAAAATGTTTTTACTATACTTATACAGAATGTTTATAACGAATATTTCTAAAAATCCATTAGCACTCATCTTCGTAAAAGTAATGAACGGAAAGCACGAGATTGTCGAAAGCGTTTGTTTGAGTAATTCTGTTAGAAAATTTCACGTTTTAATTTAATCAGTTATTTTTCCCACCTTGGGGAAAATTTCTGAACATAACCATATGTAACTTATGTTTTATTCTTCATCATGAATGAGTTATCAAAATTTATTACTATAGAAAAGTTGTTTTTTTATTGCTAAACTGGAATGGGGGTGAAAGTGGGAGAGGTAATGTATAAAAATTATAACAAATCTTTATATACAAACACATGAAAGGACGGTATTTCGGTTTCTACCATGACGTGGTGTTCAAGAAACCACTGACTCTGTTTGTGGAATTTGTAAGGAGCATGTTTGAGCCATTCGTGCTGTCGGTCCGGAATTGAAAATGTCTGGCACTGTGATAAATGCTCCATTGTACCTGCACATGACCACAGCATAGGAAACAATGTATAAGCAGAGGAGGGAGGGCCTAGGATGGGATTTATAACAGGGGTTGTTATGAAAGCGCAGTCAACGTGTATGCAGTGAAACGATTTGCCATTTCTCCATTTTTTTTTCTTTTGCTCATATTTGTCAGTGCTTTGGCCACATAGAAGATACAATTGGAGATATAACATGTTCAACAACGGTAGAATTTATCGTAGTAGATGAACTGTTGTCATATCTGATTTTCAATCCCGCTGTTTTGTATAAGTTTACAAACTGGAAGACACATGATCCCATTGTAAGAACCACGTGACACAACTTAGTCAAATGAAATGATTTCAGCACGAGTTATTGAGGATTTTTGTGAGAGATATTGCAGAAGGTATACGTACTGACACAAAATGATATATATTTGTTTAAACCCCATCAACTAGAAAACCTGTAATGGCAATATTGTTATCGTATAATGAAGATAATTAATTTGACCTTGTTGAAATACCGACATTCTGCAGCGTGCTACGTCAACGAGTTGTTCATGAAGTTTGAACAAAATATGCTTAGTATGAAAACGATTAGTCATTAATAGACTGAAAACTTTGTTGTCCTTGTGAAAGTTATTAAAACTAAATTAAACAAGATGAGTGTAAAATAAGAGTTGAAATAATTCTGTAGATTTCTACAGGTTCACGCTATACATGGGCATCAGCCAGTACGCAAGATACAATTATTATACAATGTTTGAAAATGTAACTACCCATAATTTTTAGTTGGTATATAAATGGTACTTATAGTTGTTTGGTGCAGTTGATGATTAGATAAGACAAACGTAACTTCTGTACCTTGCATTGCTATAGCATACAAAATGGAAATGAACATTCTCACCCATGGAGTTCTAATAGAAAGTGCTAGTTACTCTGAAAAATAACCTCTCTTTCAGCTGCGTCTCAGAATCTTAGTTTTATCAAGCTTTACCAAAGTTTCTTTTATCAGTGTCACGTTGTAATGACGCCATTTACTAGAAAGCTCGTGACACTTGCACGCTCGTCACATTTATCAGTTTGTGAGAAACTTCCAACTGTTATTCTTGTGAATATATATATACACACACACAAGTTCTATAACGAACGATTTATAGCAAAGATGGTATATAGATCTAAGTGAATATAGCTACTTTCTTGTATCTAATAATTGTATCTTAGGTGCGACAAAAAGTCAGACATCGTGACAATAGAAACGAAGATGTTATTGTCGTAACTTATATGTAACACCATGGTAACAAGAACGAAGGTGCTATTATTGTATTTTACTGTACAACAAGCCAAATACTATGGCAACAAAATCTAAGGAATTATTGTCGTAACTTCCTGTGCGACAAGAAACCGAATACCATGGCAACAAGAATGAAGGTGATATCATTGTATTTTACTGTACAACAAGCCAAACACCATGGCAACAAGATCTAAGGAATTGTTGTCGTAACTTCCTGTGCAACAAGAAGCCGAATACCATGGCAACAAGAACGAAGGTGTTATTGTCGTAACTTGTAGCGCGACAAGAGGCTAACACCACGGTAACAAGAACAAATGTGTTATTGTTGTATTTTACTGTACGACAAGAATCCGAACACCACGGTAACAAGAACGAAAGCGTTACAAATATGCTTATTGTTTAAGTGCTTCACTTTCTATATTTTGAGATTTTAAAGAATAACTCATAGTATTCTTAAACGTTTCATGTAAATTGGTTTGAAAGGAACTTTTATCACATTAAAATCGACCCAGCCGTGATTTATACTAGTCATGAAGCATCCAAAGAAAAATATTTTGTTAAGAACTAGTTTTGTTTCACGTTTTTAAACATTATCATTATATTTTTTACTTATACATTAAACTTATGAAATAATGAAAACGTGTTTTTTAAAATAGAAACGACATCTTATGCGGCACACGGACTAAATGTCCAGGCAAACCTAGCCATAATTTAAAACTGCTGATAAATTAACAACATCCGCCGCCTACGCGAGTACTCTTAACCAAGTGAAGAGATTGAATGTCACATTTTTAGGGTTCACACAGTCAAAAGTGCAGAATAAGTTCAGCAACATTTCACAGCTCGAACCTTGGACCTTTTGATCTAAGGCTGACACGCTAACCATTAAACTATACTCAACCATTTTTAAGATAAATCAACACTATACAAGTTAATTACATTACATTGCTTATTTTAACTGTATTGTCTGTAAAATATTTGTTTATGAACACTTTTATATTTCATGCTTCACGGAATAAATAGCGGTTGACCTAATGCATAAAATTCAAGAATAAATGGCGCCTTTTAATTGATGAGATAAAGAATATTCGACGTGGGTAAACAGAGAACTATTTCCACTGGTAGGATCTCTCAACCAAATATAAATGATAGCTTTTATGTAGGGCCTTGTAGTGGTTGGGATGATTCATCATGTTGAGATACTGTATTTGTTATTTTCTGTGACAGTGAGAATCTGTAAAACAACTGCAAAAGATTATTCAAAATTTACTGAACAAATTCATGTATTTTAAATGCCTCCTTTTGGTGATTTATCTTAGGCACCACGACGTTATACGTAAGCTGAAAACAAACACAACGACACTTGCTTTTTTCCTAAGTAAAGATTGGAGGCTTTAATGTCGGTCGGTGTTTACTCAGCAACCACTTAATACGTACTTATTCCTATCGTATACAATACTTAATCTTAGTATTACTAATACTAAAATGTATGACTGGACGTCAGAAAATGAATCATAATTCACGTAGCCAGTGATACTAAACTTACAATACTTCTTTTTGTTTTGTAACCCATATCGAGGTAAAAAGCTAAGTTTGAAATACCCTTACTTAGAACATCAGGAAGTGATCGTAGACCCAACACCTAGACGAGCGAGGAACTGAAAAATTGTAACATTTTCTCAATTAGTGTTATTTTTAAGTTTCATTTTCTACTTTTCACTTTTCTGTTTTGTCGAACTTTTTGTCCATGTTATACACGTTAATACAATGAAACATTGAATTTGTGCTTTTTATCTAAACCATTATTTGGCAATAGTCTATGTGTGTATCCTCTTATAACAAGCGAACCGCTGGATCAGTTGTCACCAAACCTGTCCTGCCCGCTTAGGGCCCCAGAGTCTTATATCTTTCCCATACGTTGAATGAGTAATTCAGCTAATACATACATATATATATACAAGTCTAATGGATTTCATTTTGGCACACCATATAGACTTTTCAGAAATCTTATAATACACACTTTAGTATGTTTATAGGTTGGTTGATAATTTTGCTTTTGTGATTATCCTATAGTTTAATAATGGAATTTAATGACCACATGATTTCTATTATTTTCTACCATAGCCACATAATATTTCCTGATTAGCAATTAATAAGTATATGTTGATCACGAGGCGGGGCTAACTCCCCTGAATTTCTGGACTGTGACTATCAGGGTCTCAACAATGCTGTGGTTTTAATGATAGTCATTTCTAGTGATTAGCCAGGAAGACAGTGGGGATTCTTGTTCTCAAGGAAGTTACTGAAACCCGTTCTCGTTCTGCTGTGACTTTATTTTCGTTTTTGTTATCAGAGACTTAGGTTTTGAACGATATCCGCCGTTATAAACAAAGAAGACCACGTTATCCAGCTGTTCTTTCGGGTGGTGTCCAACAGAGTCGGTTCCCCTGTGTCTATCAGCTGAAGGACACCTCTTCGTGTCCTTGATTGCCGCATTAACATGGGTCATTTTTCATGATGTCAAGTTCTGTGTCGCGGATGGTTGGGAGGACAAGCAAGGAAAATCGTTTGTTCATTATCAGATTTCTTTTAAAGACTCATTGCTCATTAGGGCTCAGGTCAGCTCAGGATTAACGTTACTATGGAGATCATGTATACTGTGTTGACAAAATCTTTGGTCCCGCGTGAGCCACTCAATTTAACTCTCGAGAAATTCTATTAGTTTCTTACTCGTGCTACAACACACTAAGAATATAAACAACACACAGGTTCATTAGTTCACTGTGTATTGACAGATGTTCAGTGGTGCTGGTTTAACGAGTGACTGAGAAATAAAAAATATTGATGGTTCGCAGAAGACTAACTTTGTGAGCAGATGTTTAAACATCGACTTATAGACCTTTGATGAATAGTAATTATTTTTGGCTTTACACGATCTAAAGTAGTTTGTTGTTGGCTCATAATGTCAGTTTTTCTCTTTTTAAAATTCTTGACAAAATTACTCTTAGGAGGATGTGTATCAGAATCATTAAGTGCTACACGTTTCTGTTCTTACTAAATTCGTTTTCATTACTTCATATACAGTATCAATTTTAGTTTGTATTTTTGACACTTTGTTTGTATAATTTACAACAGTTTTTAACTTCGAATGTTAAAAAGTCAGACAAAAACAAAAGAAAAAATGCAATTCGTCTTTAAAGTTTGTCACCCTATAATATTTTATGTGAAAAGTATTAAATACTGGAGAGTTCTTAATAGAAAATGTAGGTTCCCTTTCATGCCACCCTATTTACATTGCTGTGAAATAGATTCTGAAGGTAAACGGCTCACATGACGACTTCAAAATCAAAAAGGAAAATTGAAATCCTGCTTCTTTACGACTGTCTTTTCTGTATAATATGACTGATCCAAAGAGTTGGTTTTTGATGAATAGATAAACGAAAAAAAAACATGTAACATTTTGAGTAAGTTGGTTATTTTTAAGTAATCTTTCGAAGTTTGTAAATTTCACGAATAAAAAAGTATTATATTTTATCGTTGAAGTTTTGATAGATCACCAAAATCTTTGTTGACTCTCTTCAGAAAATCACTAAAATTATTGTTAGTTTCTTGTTTTAATAAAAATATTTTCTTTCTTGCAGACATTACATTCACCTTGTTTATCAGAATATTAAAACAATGGACTTTTCTTTGCTACTATTCGTTCTCTTCTTTATCGCCACGTGTTCAGCCAGGAGGGGAAGTAAACCAGGTTTGTATAGTTTCTTTATTCAATTCGTTTCAATTATTAGTTAGCAATTATTATTATCAAGCTCGTTTGTGCTTTTAAGGAGCTATTTCAATATGATATTCAGTTAAGGTTATTAATAATAAGTATTAGCAGCATTAAATTGTAATTTGGAGTATCTTTGTTTGTTTGTTTCTTTGTAATTAAGCATCAAGCCTCATAATGGGCTATATGTGCTCTGCCCACCATGGGTATCGAAACCCGGATTCTAGCGTTGTGAGTCCGCAAATATACCGCTGTGCCACTGGGGAGCTAATTTCGAGTAAGTATTACTGCACAGGAATTGGAATTTTTAACCTGAAAGATACGTTATATAACACATGATTTAAACAACCAAATCAGTGTTCCATAGGAATTGACTGTACCTATCTCTAGTCTTGAACTTATAGCTAGAGAAAGGACAACCAATAATCAGCACCCGCCACCCAGTTATTTTGTCTATCATTATGAACCAAATAACGAGACTGATTCTGATTGTCACTTTTATAACGCACCCATAGCTAACACAGCAAAGCGTGTTCAGAGCCATGAAGGTTCGAACCTTTAAATCATCATTCGCATTCCGGTATGCTAACCATTAGGTTACTATAAACCCTTTAGTACCGGATAATTAGGTCTAAAGCGAATTAGTTTGGTTTAATTAACTTAGTAATCATTCGTCAGTTAAGTTTGAACATGTATTAAAATGGTATTTGAAACCAGTACCTTATATACAATTATTATTTTTAATTTATCATATTCTTTGAGACAGAATCTGGGAAAGGCTTTATCACATCTTGCTATAGGGTTGTCCAGTTTCACATTTCCTAAACTAGTTTTCACACAACTGACCAACTTTCATTTCGATTTAACCTTCATATTACTGACTTATACCGTTCACTCCCGGTGGTGTCCATATATTGTACCATATTGAGTAATGTTACGTTTTTGCCTGTTACAACACTCATTCAAAGAACTGACCAAAACGTCTGGTGAGATAGCCCATTTGTTTATGTAAAATACATATAGGATCCCAGCAGCGAATTAATTATAATACTGTGTGACGTTTTTTGTCTGGCTCGCATGTTGTTAGTGGTCCTTTAAAGAGCAAAGTCGTGTTCTTACAAGCAATGTTGTACATAATCAATTTCGAAAAATGTATATGAAAACAGTTCCCCACCGGTAATTTTAGGGTTAACAAATAAATTATCTTTTGGTCATGTTAACTGTATCTTACTCTGTTATCATAAGGATGAATTCAGAAGTAATTCACTTTCTAGGTTTGCGAACATATTTTTTATACTAAACCTATGTATACCGTGATATAGCAATATGCTCAATTAAGGATGATATTCAGTTTCCTCTTTTCTGGTATTGACGTTAAAATTATGTATTTAAATATTACAGCTACCCACAACCAAACTGTTAATGTTGATAATTTGATTGCAAAACAATTGTTAAACTTTGGAGTTGCATTATTCTTTTGAAAAGTTTTCATAATCAATACCGAGTTTTTATTAAGCAGCTGAAGAAAAATTAAAGGGGAGTTCTACTGTCGTCTTAACACCTGCAATATTGCTTTGTAGGCACGCAAGAAAAGCATCTGTTGGGTGTAGAAAATACAACGGTAATATATATGCTTGCTAGACCCTTGCATTGAATATTTCTGTTTTATACGTTGTTTAGATTAAACATTTACAAACAATCTAAAATGTCTCTATTTTGCGTTTTTCGTAGCCTAATATTTTATCATACTCAACTATTCTTATAATGTTTTGAAACACAACGCACGCATATACAGCAGTGAGTAGAAAGGAAAACGAAATAGGGTTTCACTATCAAAACAGGCAGTAAATAATGTTCCAGAATGTAGGCAGAAAAATGATAATTCGTAAGATATTGTTGGAATACCTAGATAATCGGAGCAACTGAAATAAACTTTCTGGAAGTATATAACCTGCTTAAAGTCTTCAACTTTAATGAAAAATATAAAAACACACGTTAATTTGATGACTAAAACAATAGGCTTTTTATTAGAAAAATAATCGACTAACTACTCCTGTCATTTTTGTTTTTGAAAGGAGTCCGTGTGAGTTAAAACTATACAAACTACCAGTATTTGGAAGATTAGCTCAGGTGATAAGTTGTATTTCCAATTACTTATAATGTTATTCAAACTTGACGTATTGGTTTTTTATATATAGTTTCTCTTATTTTTTGGAATTATCTCATTCACATTCTGTGCCATTCTGCCCATTAATTTGATAATAATGTTTGGACCAGGAAGTTATATTTAAATTTTAAACGCCCAAGGTTGTTGTTTTTGTCAATTTGAAACAATTTTTAGTTTCAATTTTTCCTCGCACATTATAAAAGATGCATGTGTTTCAGTTTTACTATGAAACACTGGAACGTGATGAGTTGTGTATTTGTAAAGAAATGGCTGGAGTTTAATTGTCAATGAACAACTTCAGTTTTATTTATGTAAAAAACAACAACAAACTAGAAGCAAGATCGAAACATCTGTTTCTTTCGACAAGAAAACGACATTTAAAGCAGTTTTTAAAGACATAAAATTTCTAACAACCTAAACAATTCGTTTCATTTTGTTATGAGTTCAAAAAACTATTCGACCAAAATGTTTGTAAGCATTATTTATATTTTTATATTTAGTGACAATGCAGTCTGTTTGTAGTTTACCGAGAAAAGATTGACTTCGTTTATATACCTATATATATACTAGCAGAGACCCGCAAAACGTTTGTGGTCAAATTAGAATCTTCATTGCAACAGTACTTCTTCAAATAGAGGATTTGTAGAATAATACAAGAGAATTCTAATCGCAGACGCCGAAATCTACAAGTTTGGCCATTATTAAGTACGGCTTATATTCGGTAAAGAGATACATTAACACTGTAACTTGTGTGCGCTTTTTGCTTTAGTTTAGTTAGGGCTAAACTTTACCGTACTTAATACTATCAATAAACCTATAATGTTATTTTACGACTTAACGTTACACCTTTTTAAAAACTTTGGTAAGCTTTTAATATGTTGTACAAAATGTCTAATAAAGTATATTTACATCCGCCTTTTGTTTACATCCGCTGAAATTAAGTGCGCGCACATTTTAGGACACACAAAAACTGAGCATTATTATAATAGATATATATATGTGTATTTCTCGTGTGTTTGCTTTCTAATTCTTGAAATGGCATTAATTTGTTATATAAAGTTACTCAGTTATAACTATGTTATTTTACGTCATACATTTCGATTTTAGCTTCAAATATCATACTCACTTTAAAAGAAACAATACATCGCTCACGACTTAAACTTCTACGATAATAGAAGTTTCGTTATCTTCATTACCGATAAACTGTGCGCGGCAAAAGTAACTTTGGCCAATCTTTGCATAGCGCTGTAAAAAGACAACGGAGAAAAATTCCAATTAAAAATATGAAGATACTATGCGATACGGGGCTTAGAATACCCTCTTCTAAATCTACGGATGACTTTAAAGTAATTATGGATTTGTGCCAATCCAAACGAAGTCTTATTAGTACTAATTAAGCAACTGTGACGGGACATCCTGTTCTGCTCTTATTTTTCTTTTCGGTAATAAAAATACCTCTTATTCTTTGTCAGTCACTTGTCACCACGAGTTCCATGCCAAACAGCTAAGTGGCTGAGGTAATTTTTCCATTTATTGAATGTTTTTTTTTTGTTGATGTTTTTTGAAATAGAAGCATAAGAACTTGAGACTAATTAGTTAACATGTTTTGCTTTTGGTTATATTTCTAAAGTACATGTTATGGACCAGTGTAACATTGTTGTTGTTTTTATTTCTTAATTCAGTAACGTTACGTTCTTGCCCAAAGTAAATAAATATCAACCCTAACATATATATTGAAAATGTGAACAATGCGAAGTTCTTAACGTTTGAATTGTAACAATAATTGGAACGAATCGTGTGTGATGGCTATCAAATTCCTAGCAAGTTTTACGTTTGACTTAACAATACTTCATGAATCGAGACACTGTGTTTTGGTTTGGTCTGTTCTATTCTAGCGCAAAGCTGAACAATGGGCTATCTACACTCTATCCACCACAGGAATCGAATCCCAGATTTCAACGCTATAAGTCCGTAAACCTATCACTGACCCACTGTGAGGCGATACGGAGTTTAAACAAGGACATGTCCATTCATAGAAAACAATTTCTTATAGTTTTATGATAACAAGCGTGTTACTTTCATTAAACTAATTTGATCAAAATCTTACATCATAGTTGTTCTGTGTACACGTGACTTGTTTCTTGATGACTTTAACTTTGAGAAAGTTAAAGAGAGAAGTTACCTTTGAGAAAAATTTTGGAAGTAGTCCTGATTTGACAGGATGCTGACATTCAATTTGTTTTAATAGGGAATATTAAGCTTCACATTAACCGGGTACGATTTTGATTTTGAGACTTTGTGCAGATGTTCCACAACCAATATAAGCACAAATCAACACGTAAATGTTTAACGTACATTTGCTATTGTACCTTATACTTTAAGCAAAAGATCATAAGTCGTTAATTCTTTTCCAACGTCACTCCCAGTTTTGTGTGTATAAAAGACAAGAAGTGGAAGGGAATTATTCCATAACCGTTTTACCCAAGATTTTAGTATTTAAACGTACTTCATGGCATTGCAGGTACGTCTTTTTTTTTTCTTTAAACATGATTCAAAGAAATAAAACCCAACGAACGTGGTATTATATATATATATATATACACACACAAGATATAAGCAGTAAGGTGTGATCACTTGATTAGAGTTTAATCAGTAGTCAATCGAGAAATCTACTGACACGTGGAATAGAATCCGAATATTTACCTTGGTTTCGAGTACCACCTGGGTCTACGCATAACAATCACTTAGTATTCCGTTTCTATCAACTACGCTTGATAAACAGGTTTATCTACTGGATAAGCAATGTATAATG